ATCAAGATAAAGTGAGTCCTTTTCTGTTGCTGGTTCTCCATATGGGGAAGTGAGCATGTGATACCAAAAGCTTGCTTCTCTACAGGTCAGGATGTTCTCTTTGATCTCCAGGCTAAGCCTTTCCTGTCCACATAACGTTCATGTACTTTTGTGCCAGTTCAGTTTGAACACAACAGCTTCCTTCTCTCCCTTTCTCCCCAGACACTGGGATAAACCCTGTGATGTGAAACAGTCCTATTCCCTTGTTTACGTATGGCCAGACTAAGCAATCCAGCAGCCTTCAGGAAGGAGGGCTCTTTATCACCCCCTTCATCCTAGCAGCTCTTCCCTCTTCTGTCTGTGCTTTCATTTTTCATTGGAACTGCATCCCATCAGTTGATGCTGCTGCATAATAACCCACTAAAAATTCAACTCCCACTGATCAGGCAGATATTGCCCTTATGTGCCCTGGAACCACATAGCTGCACTGCAAAACAACAGTACCCAGCTGATGCACCCTGATTTGCTTCTCTTCATCCACTTCAGTCATCTCCCCTTCACCAGCTCCTGGCTATGTCGCAGCTAATAGCTTGCCAAGGACCACCATACAGAATACTTTGCTGACACCTAGATAAACACAATCTACTGTGCATTCTCTTGTCTACAAAAGTCATTTATCAAAGAAAGCTGTGAAGTTAATTTGCAGTGAACTGTTCTGCTAAGTCTGATGTGCGTTTCAATTATATTTACACCCCAAGTTATTTTTCCTAGCAAAGCACATACTAGAAACTGTTGTGTTACCAAGGTCAGGCTAACAGGTCTTTGGTTTTCTACACTACATTACATTTTTCATGCCTCAGATACGAGCACTGTTCTGGTTTCCAGTCATGTGGTGCCTGCTCCACTTGGATATATTTACATTCCTTGCTTATAAACGCTTGGTGTGTCTGTTCTTTCACCTCCCTTGACACAAGCACAGGAGCTTTAGGAACATTGCTTTTTCTTCAAGTACAGTACTTTTTTTGGTTGTTTAAGCACAGCAAAGTGCCAAAGAGAGGTTTCTCTTTTCCATCCTGCATGAGTGTTCTACTTCTTATACCCTGTCTGAATTCAGGGATTACTTTCCTAAACACTTGTCCTTCCCTGCTAAGGCTGCTAATTACAAACCTCTTTCTGCCTTTACTGAGGGTCTCCCATATTTCAACATTCAGTCTACCTGCTTCTGTAAGTTCCTTCAGTTTTCTTCAGATCTACTTTGTTAAAATAAAATTTTAGCCATAAGCCCATTTTTTCTTCTCTTTATGCCTGAAGTGAAACTAAACCATGCCACTGAAGCAGCCTGGATGAGGTGCTGACATTTGTAGCTGAGGCTGAGGCTCCTGGTCCAACCCATGTGAGCCTTGCCATCTCTTGTCGCAGTCTCATTGCAAAGCTGCTGCCATGCACATCCATCCAGGTCCTCAGAATACCCTCCTGGGTGTCAGCACATGCCTGGGCAGCAAGGCCAGGCCACCAGGAGCCAAGCACAGCAAGTTACAGTGCACCACTGTGAGTCAATCCAGTTCCTGGCTCACAGCCTGGCACTTGGATGAGCTCCTGGCTTGGGATTCAGTGGGTTCAGGGGAAGGTTCTGTACTCAGCTGTTACAGCAGCAGATTGACCAAAGCCATTGAGACCAGCTCCTGCCATTAGGTCAAAACTGTCCCTGAGCTCCAAGTAAGAATGGAAGGGGAAGTTGGCAAAGGCCATATTGCAGCAGGTTCCTTCTGTGTACAAGACTCAAAAGCCAAAAAGATAATGTGGGGTTTTCTTTGTAGGACAGTAAACTACCAGGACATGGGAACAGATGTGAGAACTTTCTTTTGGATCAATGGATTACTTTTTATTTTCTTTTTCCTTTATTTCCCCCTACATGGATCTAGTTTATATACGAATTAAGTCTGTCACAACTTAAAATCCATCCCTATCCGTGGGCATGCAGCAGTCACTGCAGTATGAGCTAGGCATACTGCAAAAACTCCCAGCACAACTGACCACCGTCAGTGCTGAAGCAGCCATAGCGCTGAGGAGGATCAGCAGCTCAAGTTCTGTCCTGAGTAACATCCTCCAAACTACTAAACCTATTGTTCTCTCCTGCATAATGTCCTCCAAACTACTGAACCTATTATTACTGTTGATATGCGTGGTGCCTGGATGTGGAGTCATGTTTCATTGCTTTGCTTTTCACCTGAAAAGGTGCTCTGTATGCACAGAAACTCTATCATCCTGGTTGCACAGGCTTTTGTTTTTCAGTCTGGAGCCCTTACGGTACTGTATCTCCTAGAGTTAGGGTTGTTCTTAAACTACTGGCAAGTCTTTTGCTATTTTTTTTTCCATTCTCTTTGCTTAGGTCTGCATTTATCCCCAGAGTTAAAGCAGTTGGTAATGACAGTGCCTTCTCTTTAGACACAGCAAACAAGTCCAAGTAGCCACTGCCTACTCTTTCATTAAACATTCCTGATCCCCAGGCTCTTATCTGGAAGCTTTAACAATGCCATTTTCATCTGCCTGTGTTTGAAGCACAGACATCTGTGTATTCATACATTATATGCTCCTGTCTGATAGCAGATTCATAAATGCCATAAGAGTTGGGTTCAACATACAGAAGTAAGATACTCTGATGTGTGTGGATGTGGCAACCTAGATATCAGGGGATTGGTTATTGGTTTACATCACTAGAAAATTTTTGTGGCATTGTTTGAACTTCACAATAGCTGTAATCTTTACTGAAGCCTTAAGGAAAAGGGGCAGATGTGTTCTTTAGAATCTCTTGTTTGCTCACTGTAGATAGAGGGAAGCGGTGCCAAGCCGATGGTGAAAGACGTGGCATCTGAAAATGAACAGCAGTCTTCCCATCCCCAGTCCGTGCCTGCTGAGTAGAACAAGTTTTGGTAAAACCCACTGTGTGTCCTCAGTTTACTGAGCCCTGCAATGAGAGCCCGAAATGCAAGATGAAGCTAATGACGGTTTCAATCCACTGCTCTGTGTCATGCCAGCCCCACTGTTGGTTCCTCTGGCTCTGTGATGATTCACTGCTATCCTGAAAAACAGGCAGCAGTGGCACAGCATTAGTCACGGGCACTGACATGGAGGATGCTCGTGCTGGGGAAGTACAGAATATACTGCTAAAGAGAAACTAGGTCTTCGTTTTCCTGCAGCCTGGGAAAACCAGTTTCAGGACGTCACAAGTAAAGCTACAATTGGCTTTTGTCCCCCTTCCTGAAGAGAAGCAAAAATAATAATAATAAAATGCTTAGCGGCAGGGAGAAATTTGTGTATTTTTTAGTAGTTGGCCACTATCTTCCATTCATTTTTTCCTTTTGTCACTCTCAAATTGTTTGATATCTACGTTTTTTTTCCCATCACCTTCTACTCCTGTTCCTCCACTGCATTGCTACACTGCATTCTCCCTCACACCTACCCGAGCGTTACAGTGGCTTAGTTTGGAGGCTGTTCTCCTTGCCTTACAAACAGAAGCTACAACTAGTAGCCACTGCTCTCCCTACCTCCCACGTGTGCTGCTCAGCCCCTTCACCCCCACCGATCCTCACAACCTTTGTTTTAACCAAAGTAAAATGAAGGTATAGGCAGCAATGAGAAACAGATTAACGAAAACTTGAAACCAACAACATTCCTCAAGTCTTGCTGCACATGACTTAATTTCAAAAGCAGTCTTTCCCCAGGCTGTGCTCCTAATGATAGAGCAATATTCCAACACCTTTACTCAAGAAAATCAGGTACTTGACTTCAAAATTAATTTCTAACCTCAAACCTAATTGCTCCGGGTGTAACAGCACCGAAGGGAGTAGAGACCTGCAGTGTTCAGCTGGTGTGGGATCTGAATCAGGCCCCCTGCGGGTCTTGCTTTAGGCATCGGTTCCTGACTGCAAATGATGGAAATGGAAAGGAGCTATTTCTCTCCCTCACTCAGCAAGCATGCAGCCAGTTCCCAGCAGCGTATTTTATTTCTTTATGCGTTATTCCTTAGCTTGTGCTAAGAGATAAAGGAGCAGTTGCTTCACTTGTGAGACTGATGCCTAACACAACTAATTTCTCAGACACTGACATCCTGAGGAAAGCTGGATAAAGAGGCTAGATTTTTTTTACCACTTTCTCTAAGAACCTAGCAAAATCTTCACTGTATCTCAGACACCGACTTGTCTGTCGCTCCATTAGAGCTGACTTTGTGATGGGTCAACCAAGGCACCGAGCAGGGCGCACCAGGAGCGGGGAGCAGGGCACGCTCTATACAAGGCATGGTAGGGCAGATGCGACAGCCGCACTGTTGTGTCACCCACAGTCCGGGTGCCAAGGTCCAGGGAGCTGCCCGCGCTGTGTGCACTGGAGCTGGAACGCCCTGTTATGTGGGACGGAGAGGTGGGGGCCCGCGGGATGAGGGCCAACAGGAAACCGAAGCGAGGAGTGCGGACGGGCCGTGTGGGGTGATGAGCACAGGGGGCAGAACAACGAGGAGCGGTTCTGCGTTTCCTCCGCCACCAAAACGAACGACTTTGTAACGTGCGCCCACCCTCGGAGCGGGCTGAACGCCGGCCCAAGCGCACCACTCACACACAGAAAGCTCGTGGGCTGCAAGACACGTTGCGGGTCGGGAGCCCACGCTCCAGCCTAGGGAACCTGCACTGCATCCCTCCATCCTGCCCCATTCACCGCCTTTGGGTTCGCTTTACAACCCCCGTCTGACCCGCGCGCTTCCCAGCTCCACGGCTTCACCCGCTCGGTGGCCGGTGCCCGGCGCCCCGCCCGCTCACGCACAGCCGGCCCCGCCGCCAGCAGGGTGAGCGCTGCGGGTAACGGCCCCACCTGACGCAACCCGCGCCCCGCTTTGCCCCATGCGCGGCGCGGCGAAACAGCCCGCCCTCGTTGCATCACCCGCAATGGGCCGGGCCGGCCGGGCGGGGCGACGCCGCTGCGGTCTTTAAAGGGCCGGGGCGACGCGCGCATCCCCAAAGGCGCCCGGCGCGATGAAGCGGGACGCGCAGAGCACCCAGGAGCACCTGGGCCTGCCCGAGGGGCCGGAGCCGCCCGCGGCGTCTTCGTCCTCGGACCCAGCCGCCGAGCTCAAGCCGCGGCTGTGGATCTTCGGGTACGGCTCGCTGGTGTGGAGGCCGGGCTTCGAGTTCACGTCGCGGAAGGTGGGCTTCATCCGCGGCTACAGCCGGCGCTTCTGGCAGGGGGACACCTTCCATCGCGGCAGCGAGCGGGCGGTAAGCGCGGGGCGGGACGGGGGGCGCCGCGGGACGGCCAGGCGGTCGGCAGCGAGCCATAACGCTGTCTCCTTGCTCTCTTTCCACAGCCCGGCCGGGTGGTGACGCTGCTGGAGGACCGCGGGGTGAGTAGGTCGGCCGGTGGCGCGCTGGGGGCCGCGGGCAGGTGCGATGTCCCCGGGTTGTGACCGCCCGTCCTCTCGTTGCAGGCGTGCACGTGGGGCGTCGCCTACGAGGTGTGCGGGGAGCAGCAGGTCGCCGCCTCGCTGCAGTACCTGAACGTGCGCGAAGCCGTGCTGGGCGGCTACGACACCAAGCTGGTCAGCTTCCACCCGCAGGACAAAGAGGCAGGGGAGCCCATCCAGGCCCTCGTCTACATCGCCACGCCGCAGAATCCCTCCTACCTCGGCCCGGCGTCCGAAGAAGACATCGCGGCGCAGATCATCGTCTCGAGCGGCTGTGCGGGCCACAACGTGGAGTACCTCCTGAGGCTGGCGGACTTCATGCGCTACTTCTGCCCACAGGTGGAGGACAAGCACCTCTTCTCCATCGAAGAGGCCCTCATTGCCCTCCTGCCCTGCCTGTGCCACTCGGAGAAAGCCCTGGAGGAAGCGCCTGGTGTCCCGCAGAAGGTCGAAAGGGAGAACTTCTTGCAGGGCTCCAGTAGGAGGGACGAAACAATCGGGACGGCCTGAGCTCTAACAGAACTACACAGGGCCGAGCGGACGAAAGGAAACAGAGAGGGAGGGAGGGAGGGAGGGAGGCAAAGGGGCTGCACGGTTCCTGTTACACTCTTAACTGTAGCACCTGCAGCCACCACCACTTTCCAGGTGGGAAGCATGGATCTGACTAGAGCTGTGCCCTAAGGCTTGATCTTTTGGGGTGAGACCTGGAGTGCGTGCTTCCTCAGGAGGGGAAAGAGGCTCCTCTGTGCACTTCTTTTATTTTTTTTTTATTTTTTTTTTTATTTTTCTTAAACCTCAAAGACTGGTTGAGCAGGACTTGACTGGGTTTTAGCAGTATATTTGTGTTCTACCTCAGGCTGGCCAAAGCTGTTGCATGGTGGTTGAGCTTGGCTAGGTTCTGCCAAATGATCTTTTTTTTCCCTCCCATGTCCCACCTCCAGTGCAATACAAAGTGAATGTGCCTATGTGGGTCCTACTTCCTAGTGTTGCAAGGGATCACACGAATGCACTTGCTTTTCTAAACTGTTCTGTTGTATTTATTATGCGTTGTGTGTCTCCTTAGGAGAGGTGTCAGGCTGCTTATTTGCCACTGTGGGATGCAGCCCAGGCTCACCTTTGCATTGGTGCCTTCTTGCTTTAGCTCAGTTTCCTGAGGCACTGAGCCTGTGTCAGTGACAGCAGCTTTGCTCTAGACTTGTGACCTTGTGCTGCTGCAGGCTCAACTGATGCTGTAAGGTCCTGTGTAGAAGTTGTGGGATAGCTGTCTGATGCAGCAGCACTTTAACCAGCCCTGTACTGAATTGCCCTCTGGTGCTTTAGGGTAACGTGGACTTTCAGAGAAGAACCTGAGGGTTCCAGTATCATACCCAGAACTGTGCTTGGTAGATTTGTACTTAACTGTAAAGGACCATCACTGAACATAATGCAATCCTGGATCCTGCTTTGTCAGGAGAAGCAGAGGTACTGCTGCAAGCTCAGGCTTCTCAGCTTCACATATTAACAGCATGAAAACCTATAGTATTTGGAAAGGAAACTGCTGCTACTGCAATTAGCAAAAGAACTCCTGAGAGCTGACCTCTAGGACACTTGACTCCTCCCAAACATTGGTTTTTTTTTTTTTAAAAAATAAAGATAAAAAATAGGGGATGTTTCCATTACTGTGGCTTGTATGTATATGAACTGGTACTGTGCTGTGCCCAGTAATAAAACAAGCTGACAAAGTCAGTCCTTTGTATATTTTTTTTTTTTTTTTTTTAAATTTATTGACTTAAAATTGATTTTTATTTTTAATGTTTGAATTTTTTTTTTTTTTCATTTTTTATTTTTTGTCTGTTTTCTAAACTTAACTGGCAATGCTACTGTAGTTCCTTTCGAGATGAGAAAGCCTTGATGCCGAGCAGCTTCCCTCATCTAGATTTCCTAGAAGACACCCATTTCAATATTTCACTTTAAGAGGAGTGGGTTCAGTCATTCTCTTCACTTCCAGCTCATGCTGGAGCACTGTGCTGACACCAGCTGTAAGCCAGCCCTGCTGCCTGCACAGGGCGGGTAAGGCAATGCAGCTCTCTGGGCATGCCAAAGGGTTTTTACTTGAGCTGACCTTACTCTGGCTGCTTCCATGAAGTAACAGCACAGTACCAGGAAGTTGCCATTTGCAGCAGGCTCTGCTGACTGTGGTGGAGAAACATCCTCTTCTGCCTTGCACACAGCTGCTGTGTGTGCAGGGCCACCGGGCAGCTACCCTGCTGCCTTGATTCCTCTTGTCACCAGCTGCCTCCCTGCTGAGACAACAGTGCATACCTGCATTACCTGTCTCTAGACAGGAGTTACAGAGTGAAAACTAATTGAAACAGCTTAATTTAGCACTAATTAAAGGCAAGTAATAGTCTAGAGAAAACTCTGCTTTCCCTATTCTGTTTGAGGCTCTCACTTCAGCTGAGCAGCTGCATCTTCCCCAGGTACTGCTGCAGGAAGCGAGGGCTGCTGCCTGCTAGCAGCGTGGCTCCTGGATGAGATGCTGCTGCCGCCACTGTGAGCAGCATCATGTTCCCTACAGGGGACCACAAGACAACTTCCGAGTAACTCACAGTGCCTTTCTAGAGATGCTTACGTGTGGGAAATGTCCAGTTGTTATTCTCCTGTGATAGAAAGCAGTACCACAGCTGATGGGCAGTTTCGTAGTCAGCTGGTCCTTTGGGGAAAGCCCCAAGAGAGTCCCATCTCACCCACCTCCAGCTGTGGTTTCCTGGCAATTAATTGCTGTGGACCTCAGTGGGGCAGCCAGTCAGATGTCAGCTGTCAGTGTCTCTGGCTTGCCACTAGCCACCAGCTAGAACATTCAAGTGTTAAAACAATAACTTATTTGCAGGGAAGTGCACTCATCTTGAACAACAAAGTATTTGCAGCACAGATGCTTTCCCAGTTGTAACAGAAACGCGTTTGCAAGCACCACCAAATACTTCTAAAGTCTAAAACCAGCACACTTCACATGATCCACCTTTATTACAGATGCGGTCACTGTGGTTTACGTACAGCATCACCAAGCTGCAAGCTCACCAGAGCTCCAGATGCTCAATGGGGCTGTCTCCCTACTGAGGAGAGAACTGCAGAATGCCCAAGCCAGGAGGGGCAGGGAATGAGCAACACTCCTCACTGTGTGCCAGACAGCAACGCCTCGGCTGAGCCTCCTTGAGGACAACGTATGTCTGGACATCCAGAAAGCAGAGCCAGCACCAATCTGGGGAGCATCAGGGAGCCGCGGGGAGGGGGCATCCACACGTGCCCTCAGCGCGTGCAGGCAGCACCGAGCTGCAGGAGGTGGCATGTGCCGACTGCAGCAGCTGCTGCAGGGGGTGAGGCGGGCTGTGCGTCGCACATGTGTTGCTCCATATGTGCCTGCTTGCCACTGAGGAGGCGGGCTGAAATGTGCACTTAATTACCAACAGATGCTTCACAGGCAGGGGAAAAGTAGAAGACCAAAACAAAGGGCACTTATCGGGGCTCCCGGCCTTAGCATGGGTCGGTCCCAGCCTCATCTTGGTGAGCGAGGAGCCGCCCGCCTGGTTGCTACAGACGCTGCAGCGGCTGCGCTCTGCACTCCCATCTGCAACAGGGGCTGAGCAGAGCCTCACGCATTCTACAGTGTGGATGTGTTTGTCTGGTCTAGAAATGGTGGGGCAGGGGAAAGGCAGGGCTGCTAGCTGGTTGGATTTTGCATGAACAAGCCTCAACCACCCAGCACAGAACACACAGGTGTGCTCAACAGGTTTGCATCGTGAAGCTTCCCAGTAACACATTCCTCATTGCTCAGTGCCAGAGTGGTAGCACTGCCCACAGCCTAAAGCTGTAAGTCAGCCTGTGCCTGCAAAGTTCTTCATGGAACCTGAAATTGGGTTGTATTGCATTCAGTTCAGTGAGGAGAGCCGGGATGGAAGATTTCCTCAAGTCACATTTCCTGTTTTGGTACCATCACATTTCAGGAGGCAAAAGCTTCAGCAGCATGCGATCCAAAGGGCTGCTCAGAGCTGGCAAATAGGGAGGCACAATCGCGGTCCCAGCATAAGGGTGACAGTGACACGCCACCAGCTCCAGAGGAACAGAGGGGACAAGGAATGGACTCAGCCAGGCTGAGGAAAATCTGTGCTTGCAGCAAAAGTAGTGGCCGCTTGGCAAGCCTGGAACTTCCTCCTACTGAGTTGCCTTGGCTTTAAGTGACAGCCACCCTAATCTGTGTGCTGTATTTAAAGTTTATTGAAACTGCATTAGGAGAGGAGGGCAGGGGCACTTGGGACAGCCCTGTGAAAGCTCTACATGCTGTGTTTACAAACCCCGTGCACTTTTTGTTTGGTTTTGGATGTGCCTTATTCCTTCCCAGCTCCCTTTTCATCTCCCAGCAGTGCCAGCCAAGCTGATGAGTGTTTATACGCCTGAATTCCTGAAGCACAGCCAGTACCTTGAACTCCAGAGAACGAGACTGAAATAACGAGGAAGGTCAGGGAAGTTCAGAACAGAGGGGCTGTTTTCCTGGCTGGGGACACCATGCTGTTCCAGACCACGTTGAGCTGCGCAGGGGACAGAAACAAAAGGCTGCTCTCGGACCCTCCTGTTTATGTAACTTTCTGCGTCCCTCATCTCACTTCTAATGGGATGCATTTTCATGGACCATTTCAATGAAGGCTGCCAGTGATCAGCCTGGCTGCTGGCACCTGAAAAGCTGCCGAGGGGTTTTACTGCAGCATTCACACAGCAGGAGCAGCCTCTGCACACTGCTTTGCCCCCTTCCCCCCCCACACTGCAGCACCCAGAAATTTGCTACTGCTTTGCCCACAGAAAGAAAACTCCGAGGATGACTTTAGCACAGAGGAGGTTTCAGTCGCTGTCCTTCAGAAACATGACTAACACACTGGGGCACGTGCTGGGGACACGCAGGCCTACGCCACCAGAGTTGGGGCAGCGCAAAGCACCCATGGGTGTTCCCAGCACATCACACACACCATGTGTCCTGCACAGTTTGCACGGCGGGCCCTGTCCCAAACACTTCCGTGTGCAGAAAGCTCCAGAGCAGTCAGAGCTAGCACGGGCACTAGGACTCACCAGGGTACAGCCTCAGATACCTGCTCTGCTTCTCCACCATGAGCTGAGGCTGCAGATGAACTGACACCGACTGCACGGATGCTGGAACCCCCTCGCAGACTCCTGTCCAGCCTGCTTACAGCAATTATAGCCCCACTGAAAACAGCCCGGGGGAAACCGCAACAAAGTACGCGTGTCACTTGAAAACATTTGCAAAACGCACCAAAAGAGCAGCCTTTTGCTCTCTCTGTGTCTAGATGGGACGCTGCACTTCCAAATCCCCCACGCAATGCCGTTGCCCTGCTCACATTTCGGCACAGCCCGGCTGGGAGTGACCTCCCAGCATCAGGGCAGACAGGTGGTAGATACAGTTACAGACAAGTGGGATTGATGGCATTGTCCTCAGGATGCTCCCATGGGCATCCAGGACTGGAATCTTTTTTAGTTTTCCAATGAGGTACTTCTATTCTTTAAAAACATAAAACAAACCAACAAAAAAGCAACACA